TGGCAAACTTGCTTTCCAAAATACTCCAGACACAATAGTCCAACGGATTGGTATCCTGGAAATTTGGCGGCCATTGCTCGCTGGAAATGAAGCGAGGAAACTCATTTTGTAACCATTCTTGTATAGCGCGTGCCGAATGCGGTGGTGCTGAGTCTTGTTGAAATGTCCAAGGTCTGCGGGCAAAACTTTTGCGTGCCCATGGCTAAATACACCCTCCAGAATTTTTTTCACGATAATATTCGGCATTTATTCTGATGTCACGGTTGAGTGGATTAATACGAGCGGAGAGCGACCATCGGCCGTTATGGCGGCCCACAACATCACCATGGCCGGCGCTTGAGTTCTAGTGGCCAACCGAAGATGCACATTTTCAGCTGACCTCTTTGGAAAGTAAACACGATCATTTTGTTTGTTTACAAACTGCTGGACAAGGAATGTTGTCTCATGGGAGACGGAGAAAACCAAATTCAGCAGTTCACCACTTTCGGCCAAGCGAATCAACTCTTTAGCTCTTTGGAGTATATTTTCTTTCAGTTCCGGTGTAAGTTCTTGCACTTTTTGGAATTTCAATGGCTTTACCCCGAGCTCATTTTTCAATATTTCCGAATGGAATATTACGATACGATTACGATTTTTCAGCCACTGCGACGCGGGTTTCGATCAGGTCGTTTCTTTACTTTTCGAGCCATTTTGCTGATTTTGCTGTTTTCTTCCGTCCACTTCCTTGACGTCGGGCTACACTACCAGTATCACGGTAACGAGCGATGGTACGAGACACAAAGGATTTATTCACATTTAAATGCTGGAGTCCTCCAACGATAGCCACTTGGGGGTTTCAAGCCAAATATAAAGAAATCTCAATATCACGCTTGAATTCCATCACGAATAACTTTTTTTCTGAAATGTTCTCACCAAAATGTTTTTGTACGCTTGTAAACAATATAGTGAGCTGTCACTGGAATAATTTTAGCAGCTGTCGAACGAGTGGCTTTAAAATGTCAGCAGTCTGAAGTTGGTTGCAGTTTTTCTCATCTCACCCTGTATATTGGTAATATTTGTTCCTAGTATGTTGGAAACATCCTCACAGAGTGCTGTTTATATAGGTCCAAGTTTTGGTATAGACCCCATATGACTGTACCTACAGATATTCGGTATTTTAATGACTTTTGTCGAGCTCTTCACCAGAATTATTTAATACTTGGTATTTGGATTTAGAAATAGGTACTACCTCCTATGACAGTAAATTTTCTACTCAATTCCACGTCTTACGTCGTACCTCCCTATATTCGGTATTTTGATGATTTTAAATTTGATATTTAAATTTGATATTTTTAATAGGCAGCACCTTCTCTGGCATATAATTGGCTGTAGAGGCCACATTTTCGTATAGCTCCATAAAACTGCAACAGCAGATATTCGGAATTTTAAAACTATTGTCGCTATTTTTCAACGGATTTTCTTTTTTACATTTTGCAACTTTCTTCTAAATGATGGTAGCTTTTGGAATGATTTCCGATTGATCTTCACTCCAAAATCGAAAATTCTTCTAGTTTACTTACCCATTGATCCAAATCGTAAAACCGCACCAAAAATAAATATTATACATGGGATACGCATTTTAATAATAAACAATCAATGTTTTGCAAGCGTTGTTCATTTGTAAGACGATTCATAGCTAAATTATATACCACACTGAAGATGTTTGACAGTGAAACAAACTACGAAACGTGAGTGAGCTGTTTTGTCAAAAACATAACACTTCAAAAATCACCCTTTAACTGCCTTGGCTATGGTTTTCGCCATAGTAAAAAGTACCCTGCAAAAGTTTCCATTACCAAATAATAGGTTTCGTAGCCAATTGTTTACATTCGAGACTACTTACAGCAACCCAAATATAAGTAATTATTTAGTGGTTATTATTCGGCCACTAAAAATCGACAAATAGGTAGAAAAAACAATTGTTTCATTTTCCGAATTTATGTTCCATTTTGCCACAATTCTCGTTATTTACTTGATCCTCTTCTGGGATTGAACTCGCAATCTTCAAATTTGTAGTCAAAACCTCTACACTTTACTCCAAGGTTACGAATATTTATAGTTGTTTCATGTCATACATCTTCTTCGTATTTTATTATGTTTTTCTCGTTAGCCTGTGCCGACCTTTATCGAAAAGTTAGATATTTTTCTTTGTAAGTTTTTAAACTAATAATTTATTATTTTCCATATACTGATAATATAAAAAGTAGTTTGTTAATATTTTTGGTTATTTGGCTCATAAAGTTCTCGGGTTTTTGCTGGGTACACCAGTTCAGAATTTTAAGCGTTTTAGGAATGTTTTGTTTTACAGTTACTATTGAAGTTTTACGGTAAAAAATGTCAATTATATAATTCTTTCTAAATTTCAATAATTGTATAATAAAATTTAGTCAAACTATGATCGAATACGTAAAAAGTCCTCTTATTAAAGATAATATCGCAAAAATATTTCCTTTATCTAAAAATAACCCATTTAGTCAGATCCCTTAAACCGGCTGGTCAAACTCCTATAAACATGCCTGCAACAGCACATATCCAAACTGGGGTAAGCATTTGCCGCAGCCAACCAAAACCACACACGCACAGGCACGGGCAACACACATGCGCCCAAAAATGTAACATAATCAAATGAAAAGGAAAATAGAAAAAGAAACGAAATGAAATGAAAGGAAATACAACAGAATCAAAGAGTGGTACAGTGGGTCTGGGTCGTCGTCATTGTCCATGACGACGTTGACGACGATGACAACAACAACGGCAATGATGATGATGATGGCGGTTTGTTGGTGTCTTCTGTGTGTCATTTTCATGGGAGGCAGGCACAATGGATTTTCCGTTGAATTTGTTGAATAGCAAAAGGAGATGATGGAGACGGAAAACCCTCCTTACCGCGGCAAAGCCATTTGGTTTCATTTTTACTTTGTTTGTTGTTTTGTTTTGCTATTAGCAGCAAACACACACATTCGTAGACACGGAGGAGATGATTTGAATGCAAAATGCGCATGAGATCCAAAGCAAACGGAACCAAATACTCACCAACACACACACGCACACATTCACATCATCACGACAATGAGTTTGGCCCCACACTGCACTCTGTGCACTTTAGATTACAAGTGAGAGTGAAACCAATGTGTTGTGTTTTTTTGTTTTGTTTTGTTTGGTAGCCAAGAGTTGGGGAGTATTAAGCACTGAGCGAGAGAGAGTCATGTGAGAGTTGTTATTGTGTTGGTATAGAGAGCGTAAGCCAGCAATTGATGGGTTGCATAAAAATGAGTATTGTTGCTACTCTTGTTTGGAGCAGCACCTCCACTTGCAATTGCTGTTTGTTGTTGTTGGCTGAGAGTGCGTGCGTGAGTGTGTGTGCCTGAGTGTATGGGTGCAATGGAGAGTTTAGCAAACAATCAACAATGTTTTGGAATCGTATGGTGTGGTATGGTTGGCGGGCGGGCGGCTGGTTGGTTGCTGGGCTGTTTGCTTGATTGCAAAATGTTTTTCTACCGTTTAACGCTGTGTGTTGTGTTTGCAGCCAAACAGTCGTCATCGTTTTTCTTCCCCATGCACATTGGCTCGAACATACGACCGACGGTGGCGGTAATCACAACGGTCTTTCTTCTTCGTAGTAACATTTGGTTTTTGGTGTCACAGCCTTTTTTCACTTCTTTGCAACTGGGGTTTTTGTGGAAAATTCAGAGAATTGTAAAACAGAGCTGTTGTTGCAGTAAATGTTAGAAAAAAGAGCAACAGCCCAAAAACACACATAGCAAATGCCAGACTATTGGTTAACAGTCTGTCAGCAACCCAGCCACCAGAATTTTTCCAGCAAACAAACCATAGCCCTCATCATCACATCCATCCATCCAGCCAGCCATCTATCCATCCATCCATCTAAGCTAACAATCAGCAACAAACAAGTAAGCAGTCTGTCAAGCAGCCAGCCAGCCAGTCATCCAGTCAGTGAGCCAGCCACTCAATTATGGGACTGCTCCAACAGCTGTAGCAGCAGCAGCAGCGCCCAACCAGTAACAGTACCAGCAACATCAGCAGCAGCAACAACAACTATGGCAGCGCATGCTTATATGTGTACACAACGAAGACGACGACGATGACAACAACGAATAACAACATCAGTAGCAGCGGCAGCAGCCACCAGCAACGACGAAAACTGAAATGAAATAAAAAAAACAACAAAAAATTATATCGAGTCGCAGCCACTTCAGCCGTAATCAACTTATTTCAGAAACTACAAATTTCAGTTTCGCTGATACCGTAAGAGATAAACGACGTTTGTGTTCGAAACGTTCGAAAGCGAAAACCAACCAACCAGCCAGCCAGCCAGCTAGCCAGGCAAACAAACAAACATTTCAAAACAATTTCAAACACAAATATTCTCATTCAAAACTGTGAACTAATAAGACCAATAAAAAATACAAATTGAAAATTTGTTAAAGAAAGAAAAATTAATTTTCAAATAGAAATTTTGAATGCAATTTACTGTGCGGATACGGCGGATACAAAACCATGTTCGGAATTACTGCAAATCGTGTAATTTGCGAGATTTTGTTGTGAGAATTTGTGATGTGTAGCAAATTTATGGTGATGCTGTGTTTGTCAGCGCGTTCTCGTCGTCGTCAGTCAGTGTTCTTTAGTCAGTCACGGTCGTTTTTGTTCTGGTTCTGAATTAAAATAAAAAATATGCAACAACACATAACTCAAAATTAAGCAATGCAAAAAAACATGGACTGGACATAAATTGGGACAGCAGGAAACCAACAAAAGCAACAGCAAAAATTAAGTGTTTTGAATTTTGAAAAAAAAAAATAAATTTTGGAAAAAAGGTGAAACAGAAATATTTTGTGTCATTCCATAAAAATATTAAAAAAAAACTTGGAAATTATCGTCCGCTAAATTCAACAAATGTACAAAAAATTACCTCAGCAAAAAATCCATTAATTCTAAACAAAATTAACAAAAAAAAAAAGAAATATTTAATTAAAAAAATATTTAAAAATTAAATCTGGTCTCAGGTACAAAGAAAAAGTTATACAAAACATTGCCTAAAATTTAACAACAAAAAAAAAAAACAAATATTGGTGTTAAAAATGCTTTCTTCAAAGTTAAATAATTAACCACATTTGAGACAAGCTTCGGACGCGGATTTTCAATTAAATTAACCCAGTACTGTACAAACAAATAGCAACATGATTATGGTGCAACATTTGGTGGCAGCAAATGCCCATACATTTGCCAATGCAGCCAGTGCCGCCCCAGCCTCGCCTTCACCCTCGCCGCCACCTGCCACAAATGGCCATTTACACAGTCCTCTGGCATCGCCCACAGCCTCAACAGCCTCCACATCACAGCAGACAATAGCCTCCTCGCCGCTCTCATCACCGGCTGGCGGTGATATGGTGGCGGCTGTCTCAAAACTAAGCTGTAGCCTGGATTCGAATCATAGTCACAGCAATTCATCCGCCAGCTGCCTGATGTCGTCATCATCATCGCCACAACACAGGAATACAAATGAGGTCAAAGAAAATTGGTGCCAAGTCGCCACAACAGCAGCAGCAGCAGCAGCTCATACATCGCGTACAACGCCTTTAGATGCAAACAACATAAATCCCAAAACGCCAAGTGCCATATGTGCAGTGGAGCAGCAGCAGCAGCAGCGCGGGGATGAGCACAGGGAGCCCGAGGAACACATGACCTATAACAAAGATCTATCGCAGAGTCCCCAGCACAGTCCCTCAACTTCGCCGGCCTTGTCGCATCACTCCTCCACCAGCTCATCATCACAAGTTCAAAAGCGCGTGGTGGACACAAAGTCCGCCACAACGACGGAGGAGGATAATCACGATTCGAATCCCATATCCACCTGTCAGAAATTTGCTGTCCTCTACAATCATCTGAGACAACAGCAACAACACACACGTCCCGATTCCATGGACACTGAATCCATTTCACAGCCCATAAGGCGTTCGGTTATCACCAGTCGCGAGGAGGAAGATTCTTTGTCCGAAGAGCGTTCAGCATCGACAGGCTCGGAGGAGCACATTGCCAAGGATCCAGAGGAGGATCAGCGGCATTATGAGCCCCGTCATCCACATTCACATCATCATCACTACCCTAATCTCCCGCCAAATCATCACGGTCACCACATGACCCCCCAACATCCTCCCTCGGATCATTATCACACCGATGAAGAGGACGAGGAGGAGGACTTCGACGATGAAGCGCCCCTGGATTTATCTTTACCCACAAAACTTGCCAGAAATCGTGCTCGCACTTATTCCGGTTCGGATTCCGATGATTCCGGCTCGGGTTTGAATGATGGTGATCGCATGGGATCCGGTGGCTTGGCTCGACGCCTAAAGCCCGAGGAACGCAAAGCTGCTTACAAAAAGTCACTAATGAAGAGATATTGTAAGTAGGCCATGAACAAATTTGAGCTTTTGAGAACAAAAATTATTAAAAAAAATTAAATGAAGGAATTTTTAAATATTGGTTTTTAATTTTGGCTTTTAGTGCATTAGCAACCATTTTTGTTGAAAAATTTTTAAATTTCGGTTATTGAAGGAAATCAGTTCTAAAATGTTTCTCCTGAATAAGAGCATGGATTTAGAAGCGTTTTATGAATTTAGGGACGGACTTCCTATTTTTTTTATTTTGCAGTATTTTTAATTTATAATTTTAACAAAATCATAAAATATTATTTTTCCAATCCAATAAGGAGGAGTGTGAAACCAAACAATATTAATTAATATTAATCCTTCTTATTTTTTTTCAAATAATTATTGTTTTATTTTTAATTGTTTCTATGCTCTTAGCATTTTTTTCACAAAGCTTATTTGTTTATAATTCGTTTTGTAAATTAATAATTTATCTCGGTTTCTTAAAAATTATTATGGGCCTGTTTCTCCTGACGATTTAAAAGGTTTTTTTTTTGTTTTGAAAAACCGACAAGAAATGGGTGCTTTTCCCTCATGTTCATTTCCGAATCGTCATAGAGAAAAAGGCCATAATGCAGTTACTATTGGTTGTAGAACTCAAGAGCAATTTTTAATAAAAAAAATAGAAAGCAAGCCCTCTGAGCCTTTCAAGAAATATCTTCGCAAATATCTTTATATATTAAAGAGTATTGAAATAACTAACTGACTGAGAATCAAAGCCCAAACAAAGCCGTTTAAGCTAGAATCTTGAATTTTTTTTACACGAAGTATAGTCTTGGTACTAAAATGGTACGAAAAACACTCAAATGTACTACAAATTTAATCATTTTTATTGCATAAACAGAATGAGCTAGAATTTTAAAATTTGGAACGAGAGTCACTGATGGAGTATCCGAACTTTAAGGTTACGAAAAGTTTTAAAATGGTACTAAACTTCTAAATTGCTAACATTTGGTATTAAAAGAACGAATAGAGCTAAAAACTTAAAATTCGGCATGAGAATCAAAATTGAAAAGTAAGTTTGATATATGAAAGTGGTTTTGAGACTAAGTGTGCGAAATGGTACTAGAATTGGAACAGTTTGAATTAAGGTGAACAGATGGAGCTGGAATTTAGAAGTTTTAGTATTAGGATCCCTGTTGGTGATTAGTTTGTGATAAAAAGGTGGTTTTGGAACTGGTTACTACAAGTGTTCAAAAAGTACTAAATGGTACCATATTTGGTACCTTTTTGATATTGGGTGAAGAGATGGTACTTGAAAACTGGTTTTTTTAGAATGCTAGTTCATGTGTAGTCTGGACATATGTAGGTGGTTTCGGAAATATGTACTATAATTGTACAAAAAGTACTAAACGGCACTACATTTGGTATTGAGTAAAGGGATGGAAATAAAATTCTCGAATTTGATATTTAGATTACAGATGGTATCCGTGTTTGAGATTTGGCATTGGTTTGGAAATGCGCCCTATATTTGTACAAAAAGTACTAAATTGTACTAAATTTTGTATTGGGTGAGGCGATAGATATTGATATTTGATATTGAGGTCTCTTTTGGTATCTGAAATTGAGATATGAAGGTTGTTTTGGAAATATGTACTATAATAGTACGAAAAGTACTAAATTTGGTTTTAGGTAAAGGAATAGAGCTGAAATCCTGAAATTTAATATAGATGTCATATTTAATAATGGGGGGAAATATAAGAGCTGAAATCCTGAAATTTGATTTTAAGGTAACTTTCGAGAATTGGAGATTTCTTTGAAAATGTGTACTTTAATTGTACAAAAAGAACTAAATGATATTAAATTTGGTGTTGGGCGAAGAAATAGAGCTGAAATCCCGAAATTTGATATGAATCCCTCTTGGTGTCTTTATTTAAATGAAATAGGTGGTTTTGGAAATTCGAGGAGGTAGAAACAGAAGGAGGTGGCGTTGGACATGCGTAGTATCACTGTACGAAAAGTATGGTAATACATTTGAAAGTGGGTCTTAGGATAGATATGGAATTCTGAAATTTGGTATGAAGGCAACTGTTGGTAAATGGTTTTGAGAGAAGGAGGTGGACTGGGAATGCATACTATGATTGTTCAAAAATAATACTAAATGGTACTAAATTTGCCGTTGATTGAATGAATAGAGCTTGACTCCGTTGGTTTCTAGGTGGTCAATTTTTATTATGAAAATAATTTGAAAGAGTTATGGCCAGAAAAAGCCATGTTTCAAAACGAACGATTTTGAAGACTTTTGTACTAAATGCTTGCACCTAAAATGTGAGGATTTCAAGGAAACTTTGTCCAAAAATTAAAAAAAAATGTAGAAGAGGGTGAGATTTCCCTTTCTGTTTAGGGTGTCTTGTACTTTTAGCTCTACTTTGATAATTTGCTGGATTTTTCTTGTAATTATTGAAACAATTTAATTTTGAGAAAAAAAATATTAGCTGAACAAGGCGTATGAATTATCATTTAGTATCAATCATACGCATTATAGTCGAAGTTTTGAAACGTCAAGAACTAAGAGTGTTTATCACCATTTTAGTCAAATCCGCATAACTATTGAGCATTTTTATTTCATATATATAAGATTCTAGGTCAACAAGGTTTTGTATTCTACGGCCTATATTCTTTCCTCTTTCAAAACATTCTTAATATGGAAAAGAGTTCTTATTAATAACCTGTCGTTCCTTAAGTTCTCAATAACACATTAAGATATTTTCTATTTTTTTTTTATAACAATTTTTTAACTAAAAAATCTATATGGGAAATATCCAATAAAAAATAGTATTATTTTACAAATTTAAATAAAAAAAAAAACCAAAAAAATTATGTTAGCCATTGCCTAAAATATATTTCATTATTCTAATAAAGGAAATAACGAAAACAAGACGTATTTCATAAACCACCATATTTCTGGTTTTGATCTAAATGTCATTGTTGTGTGAAAGACAACAAAATTCTTGTCATCTCAAAGAAACGGGGTTTTTGTGTATACACCGTAACCAGTAGCAAGCAGATATACAAACATACGTGTGTATGTACATATGCATACGTCATAATATCACGTTTTCTCCCACAAACATTTAACACATCATCATCATCATCATCATTTTATACTTGTTATTGTTTTTATATGTCAATTCTTAACACAGAAAAAAATAGAATAATAAAAAATGGGCTTCTGTTTAGAATGAGAATGGACAAAACATTATTGAAATTCGAAATTTTGAAATGAATTTTGAAATGAATATTGGCTAGTAGAGTTTCCGATGGTATATATAAAGAAATAAATATAGACGTAAGAGGTAATAAAATTTATTTTAACTACGTCTTAGCAAAATTAAGAATGAAACTGCACAGAATAATACAAATATTGGGAATAGCATGACGTATGATTAATATTTATTATTTATTATGAATATATATTCAATTATATTCGATTATAAATAATCAATGTTAATCATACGCCATATTTTGTGTATATTTGTATGATTTTGTGTAGCTTAATTTTTTTTTTTTTTTTGTTAAGACGTAGATAAATGACTTATATAAAAAGGATATACGATTACCATTAGTTTACGCAATCAAAACAATGATATGAGTTGATATTTAATATATCTTAAGGTCATTAAAAATACATGAAAAATATCTCGTATGATTATAATGAGAATTGAAAATAATTCCATAGTGCGTATGATTGATACAAATGGTATTTCTGAAGACGGGAGCCATAGAGAATAATGAAGTTACAGAATATTTAAAAGAAAAACACAGAAAATAAATAAAAATCGTACATATGTATGTTTGATTTGTGATTTGTTTGACAATTAACTAAAACATTCCTTTTGTCGAAAAGAAGGGTTATAATTGAAGTTGTGCCAATCTAGCCCAATCGGAAGAACTACACCTTTTTCTGATGTAATTCGATACATTTCAATCCGTAAAAATTAATTTGTAATTTGGGATTTTTTTCTAGTTCGTAATATGCCATTTGAAATTCGAAGTATTTCATTTTTCTATTTTTTATTCGAATTATTCCATTTTAAATTCGAATTATTTTACTTGTAGTTCGAATCCTTTTATTTGTGATTCGAAAATGCAAATATGAAACCAATGCAAAAAATGTTTGCGATTTTTTTATTTCAAATGGAATAATTCGAATTACAAACGGAATAATTCGAATTACAAAACAATTTGAAATTCGAAAAAGGTGTAGTCCCTTATTCCGTGGACTCCCGGTAGTTTGTAAGAAAACTATGCGTATGAGTGATATTAAATATATAAACACTCATACGTTTAGGAACTGGTGTACCGGACTATGAACACAACTACAAATGAGAACCAGTAAAGAAAGGCCAAAAATCAAAAGGGGCCAATTTTATGATTCCCTACACTAATATATAGACTTAGTAGAGCTACACATAACAAAAACGATACAATGGGGAGTTTTTGATCGTTTTTCAGGTATTTCTTTGCTGTATCTGATAGTTGGCACCAAATATCGTTATTAAGGAGTGTATTTTATGGGTGTAAGGGAGTAAAATACAAAATCGGATGAAACATATATATGAGACCTAGAGCTATATCTTAACCGATGACCAATAAACTTGAAATCGAGTTAAGATGGTAGCTATATCCAAATCTGAACAGATCTCTATAAAAATTAGCAGAGATATTTGTATGCTGTATCTGATAGATGGGACCAAATATCGTTGTTGTGGAGAGCATTTTACAGGTGTGAGGTACTTAAGTACAAAATCAGATGAAATATATATATATGGGACCAACAGCTATATCTTAGCCGATTTTCAGCAAATTTGATAAACTTGCGGCCAGGCTGAATTAGTTCGTCCATGCCAAAATTCTTTTAATTCGGGGGCTATATCCAAATCTGACCCGATCTCGATTAAATTTGGCAAAGGCATACCGAATATCGTTGTTACGGAGTGCATGTTACGGCTGTGGAGGACAAAAATTACAAAT